ATCTTTAGTAATCTTTGAAGGCTATTAAGAAAGTACCTTTATGATTATATCTAGGAACTGGGTGTTCTGAATTATGTAATTTTAATGTTTTTCCCAACTTATGGTTGACTGATATCAGGATTTAGAATAGTTGTTTTCTCTCCATATGATGTTATAAAGGTAAAATATAATGATCGACCACTGTTTTCACGAAGTGGGGCTTGTGTATTTATAGTACGAAGATATTGGGATAGTATAAGATAGATAGAACTTGTGAAAATTGCGAACTAGGGATTCTCGAAAAACACCGTCATTGGAGCTCTAGCTAATGCGAGGCAAGTGACAAGCGTGTCGTTCGAGTGACAGTAGGACGATAGACGGACAACAATGATTCTGTTTTGGACGTTCGAGCATTAGCTCGAGACAGTCTAACATAATGCCGATGACTATTTCTCCATGCTCTATACTCGAACTCAAAGATTCCTAGTTTATCTATACAACATCTCAACAGACTTTTTGACTTTTACAACTTTTTTATTACTATCCTTTTGTCCAAAGAATATTCAATACAATTAAAACCAACACAACACGCAATGTTGACATAGACTTATCATTCTCGTGTCACATCCCACAATTTTCTATAATTGAAAACACGAACGAATCAGAGGTTACTACGAAATTTGATTGAAGATTTGAGCTTAGAACAAAATATACAACGCCGATGCACGCGGAATTGGAGTAAGATTAATAATTGCATACTGCCAAAATAAACTAAAGAATAAAGTGGCTTGGAAGGGAACATCGTGGGGGGCCTCTTGATCGTTACAATAGATCGAACGGCTGATATTAATTGATCAAACGACGTGGATTTTTTTTTTAACTAAATAGGTTACCAACACTTCCAAACTTTAACAAACGACACAAAATTTTTATATCTAAATAGGTCACAAACACCTTCAAACTTTACGAAGTTCAAAAATTCTAAAAAATATGTAATTATTAGGTGGCATAGACCCCTGATAGTTAGTTGGCTAATGAATACAAAAAAATAAGTGGGGTCTATACCATCTAAAATGATACTAAACACGTTCTAATACCGAGAACCCAAATAATTTAAATTCATTAATAAAATTTATGACATTTATCTTGTGGTCTGGATTTGTTTTTTGAATGTTGTACGAACTGAGTACAAGTATCTAAAATCCACCAATCACTAAACTTCGAATCTTGTTTATTTACAAACTATACCTTGAAAACATCCAATTCAATGTATCTTCTTAGCTTAAACCGTTTTTATCTACATCATAGTATAGAAAATGCAGTGTCCAAATCTATCATTTTACTATTAGTGACAAAACAATTTCCAAGAATGTTATTCTAGCAATTTGGGGTGCATCTCCACATTATTATTCTGCCTAAAAATTCCCCACCTACTTTACACGAAGCTGTTTCCAAGAATGGAGTTCAACCTCTCTCTCTCTCTCTCTCTCTCTCTCTCTATATATATATATATATATATATATTCCAATTGCAAGAATAACATTCTTGGAAACTGTTTTGTCATAATTAGTAAAATCATATATTTGGACACTGCTACTCACTCAGTCCCATAAAAATAGGTTAACTTTTCTTTTTCATCTATTCCAAATTATAGATCACTTTTCTAGTATAATTGATTTTTCAGTGTCTTTTTTTTTTTTTTTAATATGTCCCTATGTAATGTTTCTTGTTATCAACAAATATAAAATACTCTTATTTAAACTACTATTTAATGTAGGGTATACTAGGAAAATGTATGAAAATTTATATTTCCAACTATATTAATTATATTTTTTTAATCCTTGTAAAAATGAAAACAAACATATTTTTATGAGATGGAGGGAGAATGATATAAATAAAAAATAATTCTATTCGTAGTGAGTAACTACTGTAGTCGTCCTATATAGTATCCTGCTAGTGGTTATCTCATTATTATATAGAAATTATTCCATTTGATTGTTTCTTTTTCTTTTAAATTATTAAAATCATGACATATAAAATGTCACGTGTGGACAATTATTGCAGTCACTCATTATGAATAGTGAATAGCACTGTTCATAGATGAATGAGTCCGTGCTTAAATGATTTAGGCTAAGAGGACATATTAAATTGGATGTAAATTTTAAGGCTATATTTTGTATTATATTCGAGATCAAAGGTTTAGTAATTGGTGGTTTTTTATAGTTGTCCTAAGTCCGTACAACATTCAAAAAAAAAAAATCCAGACCACAAGATAAATTAAATGCCATAATCTTTATTATTAATGAATTTGAATTATTTGGGTTCATCGTATTAGGGTAAATTTTATACACGATTGTCCTTGAATGGTTTAGATCACAATTATTTCCCTAATAGGATTGTCCTTGAATTAGTTACATCCATTCAAGAATTTTTAAAGTTATCAAAATTTAAAAAATGACCTGTTTATTTGGAAAGTTTTAAAGAATATATATGATTTTGCAACATCAATTTATCGACAGGAAAATATCAAATATATCCTTTGTATAGTTAATTCCTTACTTGTAAAACAGTTAATGTTATCAAAAGCTGAAAATCAAATTGATAGTGCAATTATAAAAACTTACTTTGCATCACAGAAGATAAACCATTGCATGAGATCTTTAAATGGTGAATGAAAAAAGATCCGAAATTCAAATCGGAAAAGTCAAAATTGATTACGTGAGATTCATCCAGGCTGATGGTGGGTCCCGTTGTCCATGAAAGTCGTTCAATCATCCTCCACGTGGCAGTGCGATCGCCCAATGTCGAGACGCCACCTCGACGGGTGAGCCACGCACCTCGGAGTGTGTGGTGGACTAACAGCTGAGGTAGCAGTCTCTTATAGAACTGTCGCACTATGTGAATGATGTAACCGTCCTACTAAATTATTTCTCTCAATTCTGACCTTATGATACATATGATTAAACTGGTTAAAAGTAGCCCCCCAGGGCACATCCAAGTTGGCAGAACAATCACATTGGGGGGCTCTGGAACCAAGTGTGGGGAGTTCGATTCCTGGTTGGAGCAGCCAAGTGATGTAATAACCAGAGGAAGGGTTGGAGCAGCTTGGTGATGTAATAACCATGGAGGAGGGTCCCTTTGGGGAAGGAGTAAAAGCCATGTGGGAACCTGGAAATCAACAAGGGCACAACCTGCGATTTACCTCCACTAGTCACTGAGGGGCCGGGGGCTAGAGGTCCAGGATTTAGTCCGGCTAAGCTGGGACACCTGGGTTATCAAAAAAAAAAAAAAAAAAAAAAAAAAACTTTCAATTCTGAGCTTTTGATACATATGATTAAACTGGTTAAAAGTAGTAACATCAGTTTCACATTTGTAACTTGTAAATCTGCAGCAATAGGCCCACTTGACATTTTAAAAGCCATGTTTTTTTTAGCGTTTTTTGCCTTTTGTATTAAAAAAAGGACGAAATAGTAAACAATATTCTCTATATTGTCATGTTTTAAACCAACATAAAATTGAGAGCCTTTATTACAAGAAGATAAACCATTGCATGAGATCTTTAAGTGGTGAATGAAAAAAGATAAATCGTAGAGTCCGAAATTCAAATCAGAAAAGTCAAAATTGATTATGTGAGATTCTTCTAGTCTCGTGGTGGGTCCCGTTGTACATGAAAGTCATTCAATCATCCTCCACGTGGCAGTGCGATCGTCCAATGCCGAGAGGCCACCTCGACGAGTAAGCCACGCACCTCGGAGTATGTGGTGGACCACCAGCTGAGGTAGCAATCTCTTATAGAACTGTCGCACTATGTGAATGATGTAACCGTCCTACTAAAGTATTTTTCTCAATTCTGACCTTATGATACATATGATTAAACTGGTTAAAAGTAGTAACATCAGTTTCACATTTGTAACTTGTAAATCTACAGCAATAGGCCCACTTGACATTTTAAAAGCCATGATTTTTTTAGCGTTTTTTGCCTTTTGTATACAAAAAAGGACGAAATTGTAAACAATATTCTCTATATTGTCATGTTTTAAACCAACAAAAAATTGAGAGCCTTTATTACAAGAAATTACGTATGGATTGCAGATGACGAGGAAGTTACGAAAGTATCAATATAATTGGAATGTCCCGATGCACATAATAAATCTTGTCACGAATGTAGATTAATCTCGTTTATAAAGTTTATCCCAAATTATTTAGGTTAATTAAATAAGATTATGGTATTTATTCTACAGTGAAAATGTGTACGGACAGACAAGTATTTAAAATTATCTTCATGACATTCCACAAAGCTATAAACCCAATATAATTAGTGAATTTTTTTTCTTATTTTTAACTACATACTATCTCTCAATCTACTATTTCTAAATGCTTTTTTAATCAAATAATTGGGCTCAAACAAGGGCTAATATTTTTCTCTATCCTCTTTTTAATCACACATTCGAGAATAAAATAATATTATACGTAAATTCAAAACTTGTCCTTTTTTAATTACTAATTCTAAAAAAAATCACTATTTCAAAATACATTTTGATTTTTCCAAAATCACATTAGCTCCCGTTTGGCTCCCATTTTTTGGAAATAAAAATAGGTAAAATAGTGTTTTTTCAAAAGATAAGTGATTAAAAAAAAGGAAAATTTTTTAATTTACATGTAATATTATTTTATGAAAGATCGTGCAGTTAAAAATAGAAGAGAAAAACAACGAAATGTAATAGTAATGTAATGAGATTCAAACGGTGCTTAATCCCTTGTCTACGGACAGAGGACAAGGGTATAAACCCAATTCAATGTATCTTTCACGACAATTTAGGACTGTTGCAGAGTCCAAATAAAGACAAGACAAAACAGAACAATTTGGGGTCGACAAATCTTCGTACAAGAAATTTGGACAACAATTTGAGGTGCAGCTTCACATTAATATTCTAACTACAAAAATGGACCCCACTCCACAGTGCATGCACCTGTATATCAGTTTATTTATAGTCACTCTATCTATTTATACTTCACTTGCTTAACAATCTCAAAAACCAATATTGATTCATGTAAATGGATCCATTTTATAGATGCACTTCATCTGTTACTTCTGCTTCCTCCTCAGACTCCTCGTCTGAATCCTCTTTGTCTCAGAGAAATTCGGAGAGAGTAAAAGGGCCATGGAGTGCAGAGGAAGACCAGATCCTGATACGGATGGTGGAGCGATATGGGGGCAGAAACTGGTCCTTGATCAGCAAGTACGTAAATGGCCGCTCGGGGAAATCTTGTAGGCTGAGGTGGTGCAACCAGCTCAGCCCAACGGTGGAGCACCGCCCATTTTCGGCGGATGAGGATGAGACTATCTTGGCGGCGCATGCAGAGTACGGCAATAGATGGGCCACTATTGCAAGGTTGCTCCCCGGCCGTACGGATAATGCCGTGAAGAACCACTGGAACTCGACATTGAAAAGAAAATACCAGCACAAACAAGTAGTTGAAAAATCAACTGATAGTACAGTAAATGTTGCTTCTGGGTCTAGAATGTGTTCTGTGAGTAATGATTTTGATGAAGAATATGATCCGATGACGGCATTATCCTTGGCTCCGCCGGGACTTGGACGGTGATGTGGTGGCAAACTAAGACTTTTTCGGCGGAGTTTTGGGATGCGATGAGGAATGTGATAGCTAGAGAGGTTTGGGAGAATGTTCTTCGGTGTTTCATTAGCTTAATGATAATTATATGTTTGCTGCGTATCAGTCAACTGCTATTGATTTGTATAATATTCTCTTACATATGCTTTTAATTATTAATTCGTACATAATTTTTCAGTGCCTGAGCTGAAACTTTTAATTCTAGAAATGATCTCGTGCTTATAATGAGCATGTGTCATAGCATTGTTTGATCGATACGAATTAAAATTAAAGTTTTAGTCCTCGTTTAAGCTTCATTCTTTTACATTATTTCCTTTTCTTTTTTCTACAGTATTCATTTTCAGCCACATATTATTCATTAAAATAATATTAAAGGTAAATAATTTTTTTCCCTTTTTCTTTGACTATACGTTCCTCATCAATCACTATTTCATAATATATTACTTCAAATTAATTGGACTCAAATGGGGCCTTAATTTAAGTCAAAGTCAAAATAAACAATTAATTTCAATTATACATTTTATTGAATTCACAAGTTTTCAATCACACACTTTATCAATTTTTATCATAATTTACTAAAAATTGATTTTAGTTTCTATCAAATAGGGGCATAATGTTCACTCGCTAAAGTGATGTTGCCACATCAGCAGGTCAAACGTTTTTTTCTTTTGAAAATCATAAAAATACGATTTAACCATTGATGTGGCGGTACCACGTCAACATTTATTGCGAACAAATAAAAGTGCTATTCATTAACAGCATACCTCTAGTGTCAAATATATATCGTTAATAGAAAATATCAATATTTTAGTTAGACATAATACATGGCAGATTATTCTCCTTTTTTCCTTTCATCATTGTTGCATTTTATTTTCAGAAAGTATTACATGTACATTCAGGATTGACAACCCTAGTATTCAATCATACACATGAGAAAGGAGCTCACGATGAATAAAAAAATCGTGGACCCCCTCCTGTGAAGACGTTGTCAACTGAGGTTGTCAACTCCTATTACAAAACTAGAAAATCCTTAAATAAAATAAACTTTTAGATTGCTCTTAGTTTCTTGTAAATTATTCGATAGTCAGTCATTTAATTCCATATCAAAGTTGACAATTCGAAGGTGCTCAATTTTATGGATTTTTATTTTCAATAATAAGTGACTTTTTAAAAATAATTAAAATAATATAGATTTAGAAATGGAATTCAACCTAATCTCCTGCTAAAGATGCAATAAACTAACCTTAGCTCCTTGTCCCATTTGTAGGAAATTTTGTAAATTTTTTATTGTTGTACCTCAAATTCATAATTACGTCAAAGTCTCCATGAATGTCTAAATTATTTATAAAAAAAGAGATTCATTTTGTTCATCATTTGCTAACAAATTTTCAAAGGATTAAAAATTCTCGCATTTATCCCAAATTAGTGACAAAGGAAAATGTAATGAGTTTTAGGTGGTGGTCAGGGACCAAACATGTCTTTATCAAGTAGAAAATATGTCCTAACTAAAGGGAATGTTCCCTACTTTATTAGTTATTTTCAAAAGGTCGGCACCGTCCACATTCCCATATTTCATATGCGCTATAATTGTTTGATTATGTAATTATTGTTACCTTATACAAGCTCTTGAATAATGCTCTTTGCTTTGTCCGTGTACCGAGCACTAGTTGCCCATACATTCTGCAAAGGGAGCATCATCATACCGAGTTTGATTAAGCGCTTTTCTAAGCCATTGCTGGCATTTTGATCCGTGAGACCATCAACCAGTCTTCAAAGAGAAAAGCAAAAAATTAGTACGAAGCAATTTCAGAAGAACAATATTGCAATGGATCGTGACCTTTTGAGTGCCGATCACAACACCACCAATTTCATTGGTGCACAAGATTCTTCTTGTTCACTGCCCATAGAAACTCCCACCACATGATAAAGAATTTTGAAATGTGCTAGGTGTACAACACTTTATACAGTCCTCTCGTATGAATGGATCCTGCAATTATTTTAATCGCGAATTCCACCCCCTCCATGTGAGAAGGTCGTAAAACTTGCTATATTAATGTGTTGTACATCTAGCATTTTCCAAAGCCACAAAACCTGCATGGTTCTTCCTGTCATAAAGCATTTTCTTCAATGTTGCCTCACAAGAACTGATTATACTAGAAATTGGTGGGACCTGAAGATCAAAATATCAAAATAAGTTATTCATTAAAAAAGGTTGAACCCCAACCTTGAGGACCCTCATCGTCCCGTCCCTAGATTTTTGTGAGGAAGGTAAATCGCGAGATGTGCCCCAACAAGCCAAGGAACAAGAACTGCTTGTATACTGTGCTTATAAAGATTCCAATTTTATGTCTCGGGAATCAAACTCCTCACACTGCGACTGTCAGCAAGGCGTGAGATAACCTCACTTCTGTCCTTTACACCACTAGGCTATGCTCCGAGGGGCAAAAAAAAAAAAGTTATTCATTGATTGTTGAAGATCTTTAGCTAGAAAAAACATTGGTAGGCTTTCGATATAACCCAATAGACACCAGTTTCAAGGAACTATAGTGTGCTTTCTTGGCACAAGAATAACAATCGTCCTTGCAGAATTCTACGAAGACTCCATGCTGCAAAACAGAAATGAATAAGGGAAGATGACAACAAGAGTGAAAAAATTCTGCAACTTCTTAACTGGGATCATATAGGCAGATCATTTACCCGATATTGAAATGCTGATGGCAACAGTTATGAGTTAGAATATTTTAGAACCAATCCTATCTTCTGGAAGCACATTGTAATGCTGACATCAGCGTAGAATAATTCATAAAGTATACATGTTTTGACCCAATGATATCCTTCTCAGATAAACTTTTTCCTAAAACAAGATTTTTAAACTACAATCCTTGCACTCACAAAATATTACTTGAACCGCCTTCTCTGCTTGTACATGGAACATTCGAAACAGGGCTTATGGTGTCTACCACACCGATAACTGAATATTTAGCACTTAAATTATCTTTGAAATATATAAGGGAACCTGCATCAATACTAAATGAATTAAAACTCGACAAACAAGAATTCTTCCACTAAAAGAATCCCAAAATTCCCAGCTAACAGTTTCCAGAAACCAACATTTTCCACTCCCATTCCCACATTTTTTAAGGAATAAAATCCCAGGCAAGGATTCGAATCTTTCGACCAATACTTGTAGGGTCAAAATTCAAAATGTCGCAGCAAATGGCCGAGGAATCATCTGTTAACTGAAAGCAATTACATTTGATTGCGAAAATATTGCTGACGTAAGAGGGTAGGGTCAGGGTTCCAACGATGAGGGTGGAATGGTTTAATGGTTGGTTTTAGGATTTTGAAGCTAGGGCTTTTAGATGTGACCTTGGAGGGTTTTGGATCCTGAATTGGACCAGACGGTCGGCCGGGGCATAGGGTCTGGGATCGGGCGGCTGAGACTAATGGAGAATGCACCGGTTAGGGGCTGAACACGTTTAATTAGATCGGAGATTTTCAGAATTCTTGGTACTTTCTTCTTCCATTCCTCGTCCGTTAAGAGAGATGGCGGGAGCACGGGATGGGAGGGAAAGAATAGAGTCGTCTATTTCGAATGTCCAAAACTTCCCAAACATGCTCTACAATTGGATGTATATAAATTGCACGCACTGTCGCCAACTTTGGAGTTGATCGCAAATTAATCTACAAACTTAAAATTTAGTAGATTGGAACTATCGAGAGCTCTACACATGATCACCAAGGTGTTAATAACAACGGAGTTCAAGAATGTTTGGGACTTGACCAATATAACATCGAATCATAACTACAGTCTACACAAGGACACTGCTATTGCTTAGTACAAACTCAGGCTTTGGTTCCAAAGAAAGCACTGCACAAGAACAGACCAACAAAAAGAACAACATATGAAACTGCAAATCAATACTAAGAATTTCCTGCATAAATGGTTAATTGCAGTAAAAATGCAGAAACTTCAATATTTACATTGTATAACAAGTCTCTCGATCATATATACGATCAAGTTATATCCCCCAACAGTAGTTTTTCTTGTCAGACATTCTCCCAGAACTAAGAGATGAAAAAAAATCCACATGTGAGCCTAAAGAGGTGAAAGATCTTATGGGATCTGTAGCAAAATTACACAGAATAAGATCCCATAAAAGCCGAAGCAACTTAATGAATAGATCTTGAAGCAAACTAAAAAATAAGTAAAGTCATATGCTCCTGACTGTACAACAGACTTCTAAGTTCATTTCCCTCCCATTGTCTTACACGAATGGGAGGTTCCTCAACACTGTATAAGGACTGTTTGCTCCAGTTCCTGAGAACAAACTATTTGGAACCTTTGAAGGGCTAGTATTATATGAGCCACGATTAAGATCCGGTGAAGCAACGGAAGTAAGGACTTCAAGCATAGAACGAGGAGAATGATGAAATTTTATCCCAGGGCATGACGATTCCGGATAAGATTGTGGACTTGTTTCACTCGAACTGAAAATGTTTTTGGAATCAGACAACCAATTTAGTCAAGCACTATTTTTGATAAGATGTCTAGCATGTACTATGATAATCAAAATAATAGGGCGGAATGGGGGAAGGAAAATGAGGACTTACGCATTTAGTGGAAGCTTTCCATGCTGGATTCTCGAATCTGATGAATGTGGCATCACATCCTTTTTTCCTTTAGTCCGGTCACTTGGGAATTGTGGTGCATCCTGAAAAAAGAAAAGTTGTTTTTTTAGATTCTCGTTAAACTGAAATACAATGGACTACGAGATAACATATTAACATTTTAAACAAAGAAAAAAATGCATATAAGACGTATGACCACTTCTTTTGCAGTCACCAGGGACAAATGTGATCAGAGAAACAAAAGAAGGTAATGTGAGCTAGTGCCAATCGATACTCACAAGTAATTTCATTCTGGAAAATTCTTGCATAAAGCCACCAACATTTTGATCTTGTGAACTTCGTAAAAAAGGGTGTTCAAGCAACTTAGTAGCTGAAGGTCGATCTGCAGGTCTTCTCTGAAAGCACCGTCTGAGGAAATCCTTCCCTTCATTAGACAATGTTTCTGGTATGGGTGGCGATTTGTTCAATACATTGAACATGGCTTGCACCTAATGCCAAATGGAAAGAGGTTAATAAAATAATCATAAACATCACTTTGTTTTACATTCGAATTCAAGGAAAATAAAGCATTCCATAGTGTCTCCAGCAATCAGTTTCTTATTACATGTAACTCTCACTTCGGGACTCATTCACTAGTAAGTCTCAAAATCAGAAAAAGACGAAAACATTAAGGAGTACATGAAGTTAATTAATACACTTACCCCATTTAGTTCACTCCAAGGAGGTTTCCCGGTGAGCATCTCGACAACTGTACAACCCACGCTCCATATATCAATGCCGAAGGCCAGCTCTGGATTAGCATCATTCCGCATCACAGCCTGCAGTACCTGAACAAATTAAAAGAATAAATACTTGACACAGACAAGGTATCTGAGGCCAGCTAGTAGGAAAGCAGAGAACTCCAACTGAGATACCTCTGGAGCCATCCAATGAGGAGTGCCCTTCAATGAAAGATCAATACCATTTCCGTTGAGCTAGAAAAGAAAAGGTAGAATGCAGGTTAGTATATTCAATATGAAGACAGCCAGAATAATAAGCAGTCAATCATCCAAATCTCATAGAAAAAGCCAAGACCTTTAGCATCAAATTCCATTTATAAGAACTTCATCTCAAATGCAAGCTCAATTTACTTAAAAATATTAATAATATGTACATGCATTGAATTCTGAAATGCATATCGTGTTACTGATGACAGAAATTTATGCTTCAATAAAATCAAAACAGAAAGATTGTAATGCACTGAGACTAGAGCTAAAAGTTGAAGAAGAACTAACTAGGTTTAAACTGTCAGTAAAGAGATATACAAGAACTTTCATGTAATGTATTTGTATAGTCAGTTTTGAAACTCACATGTTTTGCCAATCCAAAGTCAGCAAGCTTGACAACACCAGACGCATTGACAAGCAAATTCGCCCCTTTGATGTCCCTGTTTTATAATGAATCACAAAAACTTTATACGTAAATGGAACTTTATAATTGATCAATTAGACCAATACGTCAATCAGTTATTTCAAACTCTGATCCATACCAAATGAGAGGTCTAAAGAGAACACCAAAATTATCAGTTATTCATATTTTCCTATCAATTAATAGAACACTGCTTTATGTGTAATATAAAGTAAGTCCGATGTGAAAGTTTAGGTTATCTCTTCTAACCATGCATGACTTTTACCTGTGTATTGTCTGTTTGTTGTGCAAGTAAGCCAACCCCAAAAGAATGTGACGAGTGAAATTGCGAACTATGCACTCCGTCATAACTCCACAATGTTCGCTAATATACTTGTTTATGGACCCTGGGTGAACATACTCCAAATATATGCAAAAGCGATCCTCAATCTACGACAAATTAATATTGTGTCCATCAATATATTTATAAAGTCTAAAACCAGACCAATAATTAGTATCTCAATGATGTTAATAATAGAAAGAAAAAAGGCCAATGGTGCATACTTTTTCACACCCATAATATTGTACAATGTTTGGATGCTTCAACTCCTCAAGAATTCGGATCTCCTGAAATAAAAAGGCACACAAAATCAAATGTTTGCTTAATGCAGAATAATTCATAAGTTTCCATATTTCCCACAGTCTACAAGACTGAGATGTGACGTCCACAAAGTGAAAACAACACTTTGGTGACAACAAGCGGATTTGGTCAATTTCATTAAAAACTTCAGAAATTTCAATTTCTTTACAACAATAAGTTCTGTAAAGTGCTACTCATCAGCAAATAGAAGACTGAACAAACTACCCAAGGATTCCATAGATGGAAGTCGTTTGGATCTCATATTGCTCTATGGAAAGCTCAGTTTTCCTTCTCTTAACACCAAAATTTTTGAAGTCTCAAGTTAACCAAGCAAAAGTGAAAGATGGCTGAATTTTTTTAAATAAGGAAAAAATCAAGTACATAATAGAGACATAAAACTGCTGTAAATCTGGTTCAAGCCTGATACATCAAGAGAAAGACGAAACTATCTTATTTAAAATGACTATTAAGCCCCTGTTTGGCACCATTCTCCAATTTTTTTTCTCAAACTCATTTTTAACCACAAATTTCATGGGATTCACAACTTTTATCAACTTTCAACCACACATTTCATCAACTTTTATCAAAAAATTATAAAAATCTGATTTTTAACTAAACCAAACAGGGGCTGACTTTCATATAATTAAAACAACTGCACAATTAAAGTGGTATATGCATAACATAATCTTCTGTTAAATGGTAACAAAGTGATGTCATTTCTGAGATCTTCCACTTCAGTATGCACTTTCACTTGCCAACATAGCAAAAAATAAATAAATAAATAAAATAAAAAAGTATGACAAAGTATCAAACATATAATAGCACAAGAAGGATCTCAGAGGAAAACCTGCTCCAACTGTTTTATGCATTCTGCATATTTAGGGTCATCAGGAATCATTTCAACTTCTTTCATAGCACACGTTGCACCAGTTTCACTGACAGGAAGAAGAAAATTTAAGGCTTCTACCAGCAGGAAAAAATAGCAAGAAATCCTTGGTTAGTTTACATACCAATGAGTTGCAACATAAACACTTCCATATGTACCACGTCCTATGAGTCTTCCCTTTCTCCACTGACCTTTAACCGACAAAATATCTGATTTATCCGAATTTTGAGAAGCGGTAGGTGACGGCCTAGAAACTCCTGGGGGAAGTGGTAATGGGTGGACATGCGCATTATTACCCTCAGGCCAACTTTCTGGGAAAGATTTATTGTGCATATGCATCAAATTTCCATTATGATTTACCGAGTTTCTACATGGACTTTGAAGTGGTGATTGATTGGGGGTAAGTCTTGGTGAAATTTGGCAAGATTTTGCTATTCTATCTGAATGGGAAGACTCCAAAGCAAATGCTGAGACCTGGAAAAAATCCACAGTACTAAATCTTTGTGGGCTAAGGATGGGACTTGAGTAACCACTGCTCGGAGCACTAAACGTAGGAAAATGCAGCCGAAAGTTGTTTTGTGCAGTGTCAACATTTAGCTGCCGAGGGAATTTTCTGTAGCGATAAGTTGGAGATACAGATGATCTTCTGGCTATATTATCTTTTGTCTTGCCCAAATTTTGAAGAGAAGAACTACTGTAAGTTGAACACGATAGACAAAATTTATCTTCAAACAATCAACTATAAATATGTCAACACAATCTTAGCCACAACTTTTTCGCGAACACTGAAAAAAAGAATCAATTCTAAATCTAAAAGCTCCTAAAGTGTACAGTTTTGAGACAATTTATCACAATAAGGGTAGATTTTTTTATTATTTTATACTATATGGCAGCAAAGACATATTATATGTTAAAGAAAAAACATTAGTTTATAGCAATTTCAGAACCTTATTATTATTATTATTATTATTATTATTATTTTTAAGTAGCAATTATTACATTCGTGTAAATAGATCAATTTACTCTGTATCTTTAATCAAAATCTGGTGTCTCAGATAATACTAATAATCAACGATTTCATATATCGAACCACTGGACTTAAACTACATACCAGCCAAAAAATATCAATTAATTTTAAGGGGAGGAAATGGTCAAACCTTTCAATTGCAGAGCTTGAATGACCCAAATCCCCTCTTCTTTGACCATGCAAATTATCAATCTGCTTAGGCTGAGAATTCAATTCCGGCAGCGGCAGTGGTTGCGGCACCGCCGACTTTGACCAATGGCCGACATCTGCACGGCGGGGCGTACGAGGCTCCGATGCCGGCCTCCAAGCAGAACTCGAGTCCGGCGACACGGGACACGACTGTGACCTCTCATTAAAAACACCAGGCCGCAATCCTAATTCATCATCAGTTGCGTGCCTTAACTTCCTCTGCCTAGTTAACTTTCTCCCCTGTTCATTATTTTTACAACTATTATTCTTGAAAATATCATTAGAGCTTTTGCTTTTACCCTTTAATGGAGGATTTGAAGGGGATGACGAAGAAGAAGATGATGAGAATGCACTCCAAAGAAAATGCATTATTATTTTGTGAAGTAAAAAGCAATAAAAATTTAGAATTTTAACATTTTGAAGAAAGTTACCCAAAAAATGCCCAGCTGGCCTGCAGGCGCGGGCGCCCGATGGTGGTATCGATCAGGCATTCAAGAAAAAATAACAATTTCATATAATATAATTCTTTGTTTCAGCGCATAGACCATTGAAGTCTTCAGACACGTTCAATTTGCATTGTAAAGTTTTTCTGTGAAGTCAATTTTGAAGAAAGTAGAGATAATTTGCATTTAATATATGTATTTTCGTGGGAAGGGGGTTGAAGTTGACAAAATCACACCGTGTGGGACACTGAAATCTTGGAACATAAAGATTAAAGAATTTATTATATTAAAATTGTCAAATACGATTGTACGACTGAGTAAATGCTAAAAATCTTTTTATATTGGGGATTTGTTGAGAATTTTAACGGGTAATAATTTTGAAGTATATGGAAACTGGTCCATTTTTTTTTTTTAGAATGGCCTTGCCACCTGAAAATCACACTCGAAGAAAGTTGTCATTTCCCTCCTAAAAGGGACATGAATTTCAAGAGAGTTGATCCGAGTTGAGATTTCAGTGAAAATTAAATAACCAAAATTAAGTATTTCCATAATGAAAATTTCAAAATTTTAATATTCAATCCATTGCAACATTTTAAGAATTTCCCTCCGTCGTGCAATGTTCGTCTATTCCAGAGGCCAACCCAAGAAATCTTTTCAGTGTGGGCAAACATTTCTCGAATCTAGCATGCACTCGTGACTTCGTAAGTATCCAATCCTTGCCAAGCCCACTTAAATGACATAGTACAAGCCTCCCATGGACACTTGAGGGGCCTATCATCATCATAAATGTGCTGGTGTTGTACTACATATCTATGGGAATTGAATTTCTTCCTACACCCATCGATTGGGCACTAATTGTGTTTGTTGACCTCAAAAAATGTTGCCAACAGATGTCGGACCCACCCACGCACACGTGAGCGAAAGTCTAACACGCTAAGACACGTGGACGGTCTAAAACGAAAAGATCAAAGGCGTGGGAGTAGCTCAACGACGAGGGAAGAGAGCGTTTGGAATACGATGGGGATTGTTCGTGGACCGATTATACAATAATTATCAATCGGTATTTGTGAATGTGTATTTAAATATGCGTAAATTTGTATTGTGTTGCAAGATAATAAGAAAGAAAGAGTAAAGTGTGGTTTCTTGTATTAATGCTTCCATTAGCCTTTCTATGGGGTATATGGGGGAGTATTTATAGTGGTACATATGAAATGGTAGCCCTTGGATGAGGTGGCACCTGGCCTTATCTCTTTAGCTTAAACGTCTAATCCTAGGCATCATCCTTGACTTGCTAGCTTGCTGCGCATTTATTGTCTATGCAGAACCCTCATACTAGTGATAAGACTAACATTTATACTTATTACAAACATCCTATCAATCATTCAAGTAAGATCTTTATACAGGAGATCTCTTGGGAGAAGTAATCATGGAAGATGCTCCTTGATGGTTCGGAAGCTTCTGCTTCGGCTATTTTCACATAACCTCGGTATATGGGCCTCAACATCAAGGGCCTTTGAAGCTTCAGAAGAGGCTTATATATGGGCCTCGACATTTATTAGCACAGGCATCTGTCGGCCTCGGTTGGAGGGTCTCGTCTATGCAAATCACCTCAACTCCAGTGCCAAGTGGTTCGACATGAGTTGGTTGTGGGCCCCGATGGGTTGCCCAAGTGTGCAAACACGTAACAATAGTCCCCCAAGTCCGAGAATAGTCATTTATGTAATGCGAGGACTTCGGTGAAATAAAATCAATTGGTTAAATCGAAAGAAATTTTAGAACCCCAAATAATAGTCCCCCAAGTCTAAGTATAGATATTCATATCATGGTTGGAGTTAGAAATGTGCTATGGTGTTCTGCTGAGGAAGCCAAGGTGGTTGAGAACCGAACCTGCGAGACTTGATGACTGAATGATGAGGAGGAAGCCGAGGTGGTTGAGAAATCGAACCTGCAAGGATTGACGGCTGAATGATGAGGAGGAAGTCGAGGTGGTTGGAAAACCGAACCTGTGAGGCTTGATGGCTGAATGATGAGGAAGAAGTCGAGGTGGTTGGGAAATCGAACCTGCGAGGCTTTATGGCTGAATGATGAGGAGGAAGCCGAGGTGGTTGGGAAACCGAACCTGCGAGGCTTTATGGCTGAATGATGAGGAGGAAGCCGAGGTGGTTGGGAAACCGAACATGCGAGGCTTGATGGCTGAATGATGAAGAGGAAGCCGAGGTGGTTTGGGAAATCGAACCTGCGAGACTTGATGGCTGAATGATGAAGAGGAAGTCAAGGTGGTTGGGAATCCGAACCTGCGAGGCTTGATGGCTGAATGATGAAGAGGAAGTCGAGGTGGTTGAGAACCAAACCTGCGAGGCTTGATGGGTGGAATTTGAGGCACATTGACAATAATTGTTCCTCGACAATTGTGCCAATGATTTGATGTTTTGCGCATATTTTCGATGAAATGTGGCTGAACCGTTACAACTTCCAAGGCGCATGCTGCCGTCGAATTAAAGTCGTAATCATGAGAACAGCTGGAGCTTCTAGAAGCAGACGCACTGGGGGAGGTACGTGGGAGACACGCTTAAATCTGAGGTGTAGGTTTGAAAAACCGTTTGAATTCTACGCCTCAGATTCGATTTAGAATGAAGGCTCCAGATTGGCTGGGCTTTGATTAGACGGTTGGGGTTCGTCTTGGCCCTTTATGAAAGGCGAGAGACCCCAATTTTTCTAGATTTTCTACCTTTGCAATCTGATTTTTCTTCGAAAGCGTAAGTTTTTCGGTGTTGAAGCTGTTTGTTCCCTGGTTTTTCGGCACCATTCCGTTGGTATGACCGAGGAGGTAGTAGATTACAGTGAAGATTGGGGGGCGTATAATGTCCCTTCAAATATGACATGGAAGAGGCTGTGAGAGATTAGGGAGAGGTACTGTGTACCTCAATATGTAAAGATGTTATTACTCGATGCCCATGAGCGAGCCTATTATCCGAGGCCTGGATGCGTGGCGGCGAGCGAGTACCTGTTTAAGGCAGGTATGCGTCTTCCTCTACATCCCTCCTTTAGGGCGATGCTGAGGAACTTTATGTTGTCGTCGACCCAGGTTCTACCAAATGGGTGGAGCTAGTTGGTTAGCTCGTACTTCCTATGGAAGGAAGTGTCACTTGGGGAGGACATGCCTCTCCACGTTTTCATGACCCTATTCCAGCCTAGGATAATAGGTAAGGAGTCAAAGGGGTAGTATTACTTAACTCCTTAGGGGGCTCATGCACTATTTGTGGTGAGGCTGCCTTTTTCCATTAAGGGGTGGAAAAAGTCGTGGTTCTGGGTGAAAGGCAGGTGGCAGGTGGTGGAGGGGGACACAGCACTGACTTGCACAGTACCGACCCAATACTACGAAGCTCGTGACTCTCCCAGCCTAAGTAGTTGGCATTCTGTATTCAAATTTATTTTTCTAACTGTTGAAGCTTCCTTTTGCAGATAGCAGTACGAGGTTCGAGTTGAGCAAGGAGAAGTTTTAAGTGATAGAGGACATTTACAAGAGACCTTTGAAGCTTCGCCACTTCGACCACATCATCGACCGAAGTTGCTACTTCCTTGATTTTGAACTGATGGCCTCCAAGGGTAAGAAGCTCCTATACTTGGTATTTCTTGCCTTTTGTTTTGATGCTGATGCATTGACATGTTCTGCAGACAAGTTCAGGAGGATGGAATACCCAGCCCCTGATATGGCCTCTATACTTAGGGCCACATATACTGTGAAGGCTAGGCCCGGACGTCGGGGTCGACTGGTGCCAAAGAGGTTTGGGACAGGGTCGAGCGCCTTTCTAAGGATAGCAGTTCAAGGGCTCTCGAAGAGGGGACACTTCAGAGGCCGGAGAAGGCCAAAGAGCCTCGGGGAAGGAGAAGGTCCCCGAGGAGCAGAAGAAGAGGAAGCTGGTGCATGTCACCAGCTCATTAGGAAAGTTCGGGACCTCTGTGTCCCATGAAGGCAAAGAAGTCACTCAACCGAAGCTCCTTGAAGCCACCTCGAAAGTGGTAAAGATTGAAATTGTTCGACGAGCCGAGGTTGAGGAGGCTAAGGAAGAGGCTGCGAGGAGGGTAGCTGAGGCGGCAGAGGATGAGGCCGCCAAGCAGAGGCCTGCGAGGTTGCAAGGAAAGACTCTGAGCTTCCTTGTCGAAAGGGAGGAGGTTCTGTCTTCAGCTTTGGTGGAGGCTCTGCTACCTGAGATGCAAAGTGCTACAAAAAGCTTCTACAAATTCTGGGCAGATCGGTGGTAGTTGCATGCCTCCTCATGTGACACCACGGACTTGACAAGGGCCTTCGTGAGCTAAAGTGTGAGGACCTTTGGCCTCGCACTGGAGTGCAGGGAGGCCCTTACTGACTTTCAAATGAGGACCTAATATTCAGAGAAGGAGGTGTATGAGTCCCAGTGCGAGGTGGCCTCCTTGACTAAGAAAGTGGAGGTTTCCAATGACCACCAGAAGGTGACTGCCGAAGTCTTGGAGAAGACAAACTTGGCGCTAGATGGGGCCCAAGATGCATACAAGTTCTTGGAGGGCCAGATAAAGTGGTATGTTGATGAAGCGGCCAAGGCAAAGGAGAAGGCCACTGTGGCGAGGGAGGGTGTAGTAAAAGACTACATTGCCAACTTCCACAATACTGAGGAGTACAAGGGCTTCAGCACCTACTAGAGAAATTATGCTTATGCCAAGATGATAGAGAAGGCTGAGGAACTCTACCCAAATCAGGACCTGTCATAGCTGAGGTCAAAGTTTGTGGATGAAGTGCCTCAAACCCCAGTTGATGAAGTAGTTGGACATGAAGTAGTAGAGGCAGAAGAAGGAAGTTCTGATGCTCAGGCTGCGGAAGCCCCGGCTACCGAGGCACCTCCATCATCGTTCCAGGCTTAGGATAGTTTTCTTTTCAGTTATTTCTGATGTACTGGCCTCAGGCCCCCCTCCCTTTTGTAATCTTGATTGAAAATCAATATAATATCTTCTTCTATTCAATGTTGTTTTTTTTCCTAAGTGCACTAGCCTCGTCAAGCAATTGAACTTAATGTTGATTGAAGAACTAAA